GTCAACCCCAGGTACCTGACTGAAGCCCTGTGCGACTAGACGAGCCTTGTGGTGAACGACGTGACCAGCTGTGTCCTTCTTGGCCTTGAAAACCCACTTCAAACCCACGATGTTCACTCCCTCTGGTGGATCCACCAACGTCCATGTCCCGGCATCTTCCAATGTCTTCAGCTCCTCAAGAATAGCCTTCTCCCACTGCAACCAATTGGGCCTCCTCTTTGCTTCAGCCAAAGTACGAGGTTCGAGTGCTGATGATTCAGAAGATTGTTCTTAGGGTGAACAAATCTCCTTAGAGTTTCGCAGAATGTGTTTCAAATGGCGAAATATCTATTGTTCGAGGGATAGGACAATTCTCTGATCTTCTGTTGAAGAGTTCTCAAATATTTTAGACAAATACAAGGGACAACAACAAACAAAGGGAGGATGACAAAGACTATAAAGCAGTGAAATCCCACTTTCCAGATTTCTGTCAAAGAAATCTGATACTTCACAGAACCTGATGCTGACAGATGGACCTCAATGGCTGCAACAATATGCAGGCTTACAAGCTTAGGTTTTTCTGGCACAAAACAGACTTTCAAGTGAAGAGAATCTCTTAGAGAGGGATACTTTGGGGTGGGAATTCTTGTATTTCTTCTCTCTACTCAGCCTGCCTTATATAGGCTACAAAATGCTGACTAATCTACTGTACATAAGCATAATAATCCTGACAAAGCACCTGTTTCTACCCCATCAGAGTCTCAATTACTCATCCCATTCTCACGCTTCACTTAATCATCCTATCAGAATGGCTGCTGAGTAAGGCAGTTCTCACACTTCCAGATTCCAACCAATCACAGTCCAGGCTGAATAATCCACTTCTCGCACCTCCAGATTTCAACCAATCATGATCCAGGCTGAGTAATCTGCTTCTCGCACCTCTCTTTTCTATCCAATCACAGTCAGGTTGAGTCAGCCACTTACTGAACTCATCTGACAAATCATTTGAGTGACTTGTAGGCAGAATGGAGGGATGTAGCAATGTTTGATTGTCCACAAGAGGAAGAATGAGATAAATGGAACAGAGACAATGATAGTGATGACATTTGATTGCATGACAACTTGGCATAATGTTGAAATATAGGATCGACCCAAAGTAGAGGAATTGACGATTTACAAGAATGGAGGGAGGGGAAAGCAAAATGATGGAAAACAACAAAAATATGCAACATTCAGACCGTGGACTGTAGGTCGTCTGACAGTGCATCAAGCTCCCCCATCTCCGTCACTAATGCATATTCCACCAACATTGACTCATCATCCTCATCTGGCACCTCCTCCACTGTGGTACTAGGGCACTCTGGGACAGGGACAGTCAATCCCACCAGAATCGCAGGATCAGATCGATGAGCAGATGTTGAGCCAATGCCGGATTGGAGATCACAAAGATATTGCAACAGCTTTTGGTTTCGCTGCAGGCATGTTTCATGAGTAGGAGGATTTTGAACAGGAATGGGAGGTAGAGCTGGCTGGGGGATGCATTCAAGAGGTGGCAGGTTATCAATATCAGTGAGTTATTTTGCTAACAGTGAGGTCCTCGTCAGGCTCCCCCTCGAAACGAACATCAGGATGTCCAGGACCTTCAAAATACACATTCCTCTCGACAGAAATCCTCCTCATCTCAGGCCAGTAGACCCAATGCCCCTTTGACTCTTCAGCAAACCCCACCCAACAAGCCTCTCAAGCACAAGGGCTCAACTTTGAGCTCGTCTTCCCATCATGCACCCAAACACGACAACCCCACTCACACAACCCATGCAAATTGGGCTTCTCCCCATTCAAGGCCTCATAGGGTGTCATCCCACCCAATACCTTCGTCAACGTGCAGTTTTTCAACCATGTTGCATGGCTAACAGCCTCTCCCCACAAGGACTTCGGCAATCCACTATCATCCAGCATTGCCCTCACCCTCTTGAGCACTGTACGGTTCAAGCACTTGGGGATCCCATTCTCGGCAGGTGTGTCATGAATGGTAAGTTTTCTTGTTGTACCAGCTGCGTTGAGGTGATCTGAGAATTCCCTACTTAGGTATTCCCCACCATGATCTGAATGCAGGCACTTGATCTTGGTCTTGTGCTGTGTGCCACACCAAGCCTCAAACTTTTTGTATGACTCGAAGGCTTGATCCTTGATACAAAGGAGGTAGAGTTTCGAGTAACAGGTGTTGTTATTGGTGAGAGTGATGAAGTAGTGTCGACCACCGAGAGTCACGATCTTTGAAGGGCCCCACACATCGGTATGTACCTCGTCACCAAAACTCTCCGAGACTGGTCCCTGACAGTCCTTGGGGACAGGCTTTCTTGTTGCCTTCACCTTGACACACGACTCACAGAACACTGGTTCACCAGTGGATGTATCCAGTGAGACTCCTGTCACAAAACCCTTCTTGATAAGATGCTTCGCAATCAAAGGTGAGATGTGTCCCATACGATGGTGGAACTCCATGATGCTGATATGGTCCTCAGCAACATTCGCAGACCCAACACTAGGGTCAACAGACTCATGAACAACACGGTACAGCCCCTTTGAAGACTTGGGGACTTCGCCAAGAGCCTCACCATCAGGCAAGCAAATCATACACTTCCCATCTGCAAATGTCATCAAGAATCCAAGTTTGTCAAGTCGACCAACGGAGACCAGGGTATAGCCCACTTTGGGAGAGTAGAGTACTTCAGTCAGCCTCAGCTTTGAGGTCGACACGCCATTTGGAACCTCAACAACCATCTCCCCCATCCTGACAGCACTGAACTTTTGCTTGTTGGCAGTGGTAAAGGGTTTCAGGGGAATTTCGACAAGGTTCTCAAAGTCGTCAAGATACAGGGAGATATGGCAAGTTGAACCAGAGTCGTAAAGCTCCTTGCAAGGTAAATCATCCAGTTTGTCATGAATTGCATCAACAGACACAGCTGCAGTGTGCATACCACCAGCATCTCTGACATCCAAGTCAACATCAACATACAATGTCAAGTTTCCAGACACAGGACCATCATCGGAAGACCAGCCACCACTGCCAACATCATCACAGAAGTCATCTCCCACCTCTGAGAAAAGATCCTCCTCATTGTCACCATCAGTTCCGTCATCGGCCTCAGGTTTGGAGTCAGATCCAGACTCCAACCCAGGCATACTGTCAGCATCCCTGAAATTGGAGAAGTCTCCCTCGCCAACACCCTCAGCATCACCAGCCTCACTCTCAGAGTCGGTGTCTGATCCATGCCGCAAATCAGGGATAGTATCCACATCCAAATCATAACTCATAGCATATGTGCCATCAGAGTCAGAGTTGTCGACAGCATTTGCAGCTCCACGCTCGGCCTTCCCATCAACTTTGGGTTTGCCCTTTGATGATGACAACAATGGTTTCTTCGGACAAGCATGGCAAAAGTGACCTTTTTCGTGACAGTTCCAACAGGCCCCTTTTGGCTTGGCCTTCTCACCTCCACCTCTGCCTCCACTCCCTCTACCCTTCCACAGCTGGACAGACAAGGCTTTGTTGTCATCAGCCTTCGACTTCCCAGCACAATGTGCATGCTTGGCCTTCTGACGGTCAGCCTCCTCCGAGATCACACTGATCAAGAACTCAGGATCAATCTTCTTGGGTAGAGGTGGCAGTATAGAGGGGTTTGCAGCCAACATAATTGAGTACTGATGTTGGGCTGATGTACGAGCAGCAGCGAGCTGTGCAGCAGCAAAGTTGGACATATAATCGGGTAAGGAGTGAATGACCATGGAACACATATCCTCGTCGCTGATATCAACTCCCATACCACCCAGACGAGCTTGTTCAGAAACAAGCTTATCCAAGAAGGTCCGGACGTCGCCCTTATCAGGGCACTTGCTCTCCAAGAAGTGAGTACAAGCATTTGTCAACGCATACTCCCCCTTCTTAGTGAACTCATCACAAATCAAGGACCACCATTTGGCAACAGAGGTTTTGCTGTGAATCTTCATCAACGTATGGTCGTGGATCTTCTGGGTGAGTAGGTAACATGCGGTAGCTTCGTTCTTCTTCCAAGTGGCAATCTCAGCTTGCTGGGTTGGGTTAATGGTGCCCGAGAACGTGGGCTCCTTGTTGGTGCCATCGAAGTGGGCCCAAAAGCCCTTGGCCTGAACTGCATCCTGGAAGCACTCAGTGAAGATGGCCCAGTTGGTACCATTGTCGTTGAGCATGGGGATGGTCAAGGGTAGGGTATCAGAAGCTTGGGTAGTCGACATTGTGAGGGGATGGTGATATGTGTGAGGGTATTACGGTGTATGAACTCTGGGGCTCAGTAACCTGTTAGAATATTATATTCGACCTTAAAGGTTCAATGAGACTCTGTACACAGACGAAGTCTATCTACAAGTACATGAGTATGATACGAGAATATTAGGGACTATGATAGGTGCTCACCAGAGGCTCATGTCAAATGAAAGACAAAAGGTGAGCCTCGGGGGATAAAAAAGCGAGCTATATATGTGAAAACTGGAATACAGTCTTGACACTGTCAAAACAAAAGGACAAACATTTGAGAAAGATACAAATGGGGAAACAAACGAAAAGATCTCGAACATAGGCCAAATAAGGAAACAAGAGACATGGAAGGAGGACTCATACACACTTGCAACTCCAACATAACTCTGGTGTCCTCGAGGCTCATTACTTGGGTGCCATAACACAAGTAAACATAACAGGTACCCTTATGAAAGGTGATGCTGGTCCCATTAATATGGTTGACAAAATCAACACCCCTTCTTTGTTTTGGTAGCATCCTACATTTGCCTCTGGCTGGTCATTTCTGATGGCGAACACTATAGGCCAGCTGCTTCACTTAATCTCACAACCCTGAGTCCACCTAAAAAAAAGGATAAAACAATTCACAAATACTTAAAATATAAAAATAAGTGCCAATTAAGTACTTACATATGGGGACATTCCAGAAAACTCATCAAACCTCCTGAAAAAAGGATAAAATCAATCTAGCCCACCGCGAGGGTCGAACTCGCAGCCTTCAGATGCCCAAGTATGCGGGTTTGACCCCGCGTACTCCTTAAAAGTCTGACGCTCTGGCCAATTGAGCTAGGCGGGCATGATTTTGATTGCCAGAGGTGCCATATATTCCCGGCAGCCCCAAAAAGATGCGCGCGAGGTCGTCTCGCAAACGACCCTCATCACGGAGACAGCTAAGAGACAATATATGGGGACTTGGACTGGGAGGATGCAGTGAGGTCGTGATTTGTTTTGAAGGCGGACGTGGCTGGCTTCTGCACATGGAATAGAGAAGGCAAGCACGACTCTGATCGAGTGTTACGCGTCAGGTCGCCTGGGGCCCGGTTGTGAAACTGGGATTGACAGCGTACCATTAATATCGCGACAGTGAGCCTGGGGACCGTCGCGGTAGAATGCACGGAAGTCCAAACATAGACAGCCAGATTATCATGAGCACTATGCATATATGACGGATCAACTTCGCTACACTCACCGGTGAACTGGGATGCCGACGTCGATGTGGGGAGCTGTGGGGAGGTCTGATCAGCAACCATCGAACTTCCCAGCCCACATCCACCTGAAAACTCTTGTGCTCATCGTGCTTCTCGAGCTAGAAAACGGAGCTTGCGACGATAATATTCCCAGTCTGGGAGCAGGCACAAAGAGGCCACGGGGGTAACAAGGCGGTAGTGGTGGCGGTAGAGATCTTCCGGAGTCGCAGCCACTGGAATTTTGTCCTGTCAATGTGACTCTACCATCACCTTCCAATCCTGCTCGTTCCTGCCTGCATTCCCACTATTCTCCTGAATGGAAGGCGTGGCATATTGGCTTGACATTCCAAATATGCCTACATGGATCCCGGAACTGGCGCGTGCATACCCGTCCGCCTGATACCCCTTTCACACCACCCTACACTCCGAAGTTCAGTGCGAACGACGTAGCACATGTAACGTCTTCCAGTCGACAACTATAAATATGGAGGCGTTTCAAGATTGTGTCTCAGCAATATCGACGGTCAGTATGCGTCGGTTTTTAGTCTGTGGGCTTGCCCTCGTCGGGGCGGTGTTTTCGCAATCCGTGGATACGTATGTTTCCACTGAAGGCCCTATCGCGAAGAGCGGGATGCTCGCAAACATTGGACCGAATGGTTCGAAAGCTGCGGGAGCCTCGGTGAGTGCCTCACGCTTGTACTCATTCACCCACCCCCTTATCATGCTCGACCAGCCCGGAGTGGTAGTCGCAAGTCCGAGCACCACCAACCCAGATTATTGGTATACGTGGATCCGAGACTCCTCCCTCGTATTCAAGGCCTTGATTGATCAGTACACCGTTGGCATCGATCGCACCAGCTCCCTGAGAAACTTGATCGACGAGTTCGTGACCGCTGAGACCTACATCCAGCAAGTTTCCAACCCTAGTGGGACCGTCTCAACTGGTGGTCTCGGGGAACCAAAGTTTAATGTGAACGAGACCGCTTTTACCGGTTCATGGGGCAGGCCTCAGCGCGGTACGAGGAGTTTTCTCTTCCGACTTGCTTCGAAGCTTACTCGCCACAGATGGCCCTGCGCTCCGCGCAACCGCAATGATCACATACGCCAACTGGCTCATCGCCAACGGCAACACGTCCTGGGTAACGAACACACTTTGGCCCGTCATCGAACTGGATTTGAACTATGTCGCCGACAATTGGAATCAGAGCACATTTGATCTCTGGGAGGAAATTTCTTCGTCGTCGTTCTTTACGACTGCTGTACAACATCGTGCTCTGCGCCAAGGAATTACTCTCGCCAATGCCATCGGTCAAACCTCCGTCACTAGCTTGTGGTCAGCCCAAGCGCCCAATGTGTTGTGCTTCTTGCAGGTGAATACACCCTCGATCTTTTCTCCTACCCTTAAACTCATTATATCCATGTAGTCGTATTGGAACCCAACAAGCGCATACGTCACAGCTAATACTGGCGGCGGTCGCTCGGGCATAGACTCGAATACAGTTTTGGCCTCTATCCATACCTTCGATCCATTAGCTGGATGTGATGCCACTACTTTCCAGCCCTGCTCAGACAAGGCTCTTTCTAATCTGAAGGTATACGTGGACTCGTTCCGTTCCATCTACACTATCAATAGTGGGATTGCCTCCAGCGCTGCAGTGGCCACCGGAAGATACCCTGAAGATGTTTACCAGGGCGGAAATGTGAGAAATTCTGTCCTTGATAATTATCAGGAGCCATGGCTCACACATTATTCAGCCCTGGTATCTATGCACAGCTGCCGTCGCTGAGCAACTCTACGACGCTTTGCAAGTCTGGTCGTCCCAAGGTTCACTCAGCATCACGTCCATCTCCCTCCCCTTCTTCCAGCAATTCTCTTCCGGCGTTGCTACAGGCACATACGCTTCTTCAACTTCTACCTACTCCACCCTCACTTCCGCTATCAAGACATTTGCAGACGGATTCATCGCCATCGACCAAATGTATACGCCCACAAACGGCGGTTTGGCGGAACAGTTCAGCAGGTCCAATGGGGCACCACTTAGTGCTGTTGACCTCACGTGGAGCTATGCTGGAATGCTCACGGCGTTCGAAGCCCGAAACAACACGCAATTCGCGAGCTGGGGTGCGTCGGGCTTGACAGTTCCCTCAGCTTGTCAGAGTTATTCCGGACCAACTGTTACTGTGACGTTCAATGTCTACGCCACCACCGTATATGGCGGTAAGTTTTTCTCATTCCCCACTGTTCTGTGTGATTGATTTGTTCGTAGAAAATATCTACCTCACTGGATCGGTCGCCGCCCTCGAGAACTGGTCTCCAACTAGCGCTTTGCTTCTCTCGTCCGCCGACTACCCCACTTGGAGCAGTACGTTGATTCCAATCTGCCAGCCAGTTCCGGGCGCATTCTAACCCTCTGCTCGTTTTTAGTTACCGTGGATCTCCCTGCCAACACGAACATTGAGTACAAGTACATACGCATCTACAATGGTGCCGTTACTTGGGAGTCTGATCCCAACATGAGTATCACGACTCCCGCTAGTGGCACTTACACCGAAAATGACACTTGGCGCTGATTCCCGCAGTTGGACGCTGAATGTTGGAGGTGATCGTGTCGGTGAACGTGACTCCCGATCACATGTATTACCGATTTACAATGAACTTGCGTATTGAAATGGTGTTTGGCAGAGGGCTTTTTTACATGCAGGCGCATGCAAGCTGGCCCACTTCGCAGCGTGTTACAGTACAATACAAAAATGAACAGATTAAAGGTACATCCAAGAATCATGAAGAAACGTCGCGTATACATAAAGGTCGCTATACAGGGAGGTTTTTGTTTGCCTTGAACTTGAAGCGATGCTCCACACTGTACTTCCTTGGATTTGGTTGATTGAAGACCTCGTCGATCTCTTCGAGAGTTAGACCCTTCGTCTCCACAGCGAAGATGTAGACAATGACGACCTCAAATACATCCCACACCAAAAAGATCACGTAGACTGGGAGAGGGTTAAAGGTCAATATCAATCTCCCATGTGCCATGTAGGGACGTTCGTACCTTTCCACCCCAATTTTTGCAATGCCACAGGCAAACTATTACAAACAGGAACCGTTTAGCGAGTGTCGTAGACGAGAAAGATAAGGAGACAAACCCGAATGTATTGATGCACGACGAAGCTTGTGCGACCAGATTATAGAAAGCCAGTCCCTTTGCCCTGGCTTCGTACGCAAGGCACTCCGTAGCATAGACACCTTGCCTAAAACCCTCCATTAGATCCTCCAAAGCCGTCAAGTCTTAAAGCCGACTTACATAGGCGTCCAACCGAACGAAAACACTACCATGAATAGATAGATGAAGGAGATACCAGCATTAGCTCGCGCGGCGTTCCCGTCGTTCGTGCTCAGGAGGCCGGAGACGATGGCTAGGATGACCACCAGACCAGATGTGGAGATGAGGAGGATCCTTCGGCGACCGACTCGATCAACCACAGCTGAGCCCTATACAATGTCAAACCCTCGGTCAAATTTCGATGATGGAAAACATAGAATAATGAACTAACGGTTAAAGCGCCGATCCACGAAGTTACAGAATTTACGAAGGTGAGGGTGAGCTGCTTGTTTTGGTCCAGGATACCGGCATTCTTGAGCAAGACAGGGAGGAAGTAGGTGACCATACCGTTTCCGGATAGTTGTCCGAAAGAGCCTATGGAAATGAATGCAGTCTTAACATGCTAAAATCCTCAGATGAAGAGAAGAAAATGAGTTACCCATAAGAATAACCATCCCTGCTCTGTATCGATCTGCGGCCGTGCGGAACAGAGACCTGAAGTCCCACCACCGCTCTAGATGAAGAGTCAAATAGTTAGACCGAAGTTAATGGTGACTCGACGAGGAAAAAAGCACGTACTGTCACTTCCATCGATGGCGATTTTCTCTTCAATCTCCTCGATTTCGAGCTCGACTAGAGGCGACTTAGCATCACCGGTGGACGAATGTAAGTTTGCAAGGATCTGGCGAGCTTGTTCTTGTTTTCCTCGGCTGTGGAGCCAACGGGGACTTGAACACAAGTAGAAATCAGACGATGGATTTTCTGTATATGAAGGTGGAAGACGTACGACTCTGGCAAGAAGAACACAAATACAGCGTTCAACAGGGCAGGAACCATCTGTTTTTGAAACGTCTCAGTCGAGAATCATCTGCAATAGATGAAGATGATACGGTACCTGAACGAACAAAGGTAGACGCCACGACCATTCGCTGGACCATCTCCCAGTTGACACGGCCATACCAGTTGCAACGAGCTGTCCAACATAGTAGAAACTGTTCTGGAAGCCCAGGAAAAGACCTCGGGTCTGAGGGGGTGTAATTTCGCCCAGATAGGATTTGGCACCGGCGTTAGCGGTAGCAGAGCCCAGACCTATTGAAACAGATGTCATGTTAGATACGAGTGTGAAGTTGAAGGTAACAGAAGGATTCGTGTACCAGTGAGGAAACGACCCCCGATGAAGGCACCTTTGGTCTTTGCGGTTCCAGTGATGAGTGCACCGACGCTGAGGAGAAACACGAAGGTTAGGGACTTATGGCGGAGGCGATCATAACCGAAGACTTACATTAAAA